TCTGATGTAATTGCAGTCAACTCCATTGCAGAGCATTCTGTATGTCATTCTATAGCCCTCACCGAATGCTTGTTGAATGAAGGAATGAATGGATAAGGTGCTGGTGAAGGTGTCCCATGCCCCTACTCCCCTACATCCCCCATGTCTCTCTTGATCAGCAGATGAACTGTGGAAAGGAGGGAGGTAGGATGAGCCACGAGGTCCACGCTTCTGCGGGCTCTTTCCTCTCAGTACAGGGCTCCAGCACTTTCCACAGAGCTCCATGCCCAGTCCAGCAAGCCCCTGAGTAGTGTGCACTGAGTGTGGGAGGTGAGGGGCTTTTATTACATTGCAGCCCCAGGAAATAGGCGGTCACAGGATGTTCTGAATGGACAGAGGAGGTCCAGTGATGGACATGTGTTTAGAGAAGATGAGCAGTTTGTCCCTGAAGACATGCAGCCTGTAAGTGGCAGAGCTGGCTTTGGAGCTGGGAGTCAAATGCAGACCCAACTCGAGACCACAGTCTTGGCCACAGGGTTCTACTGCGCTGAGGATCACACTCCCTGCTGCTGGGTACCGACCCTTTAGCTAACCCTTGTGGGCCACGCTGGTTGTCACTGAGTCTTGTCCCAATCATTGAGACCCCATATGGCAGCTCTGAGACCTCCCAGTCATGTGGGAAAAAGTGCTGGTGGCCAGGGGCAGGCCCTGTGGACTCACCTCCGTGGTCAGTGAGGCAGGGGAAGGCTGGCGAGAAGAGGGTGGAGAGCTGCTCTTAGCCCCAATGGGGGCTGAGGAATCGGTATTTCCAGGCTCAGCCTTTCTCCTGTCCCAAAGCCACTCCACGGCCATTTCCTCCATGACACCCAGCTCCTCAAGACTGGGGTTTTGCTGCTTTGGTTCTCTGCTGGATCCCCAGTGCCAAAGAGTGGTGCTCAATAAGTGTTTCTTAAACAAATAGGCTAAACTCCTAAAAACAGTTGCTTTAGGAAGAGTGATCTGTGTCATAATGATTCTGATGCAAACATTTGTCTCAAAATGTACCCAGAAGATTTTAATTTATGACACAGAGAGGCCAATGTCATTGGGAAATTTTTTATTACTTTTACTCCCCACAGGGCCCATGGGGAAGCACTAAGGTCAGCCAGGTGGCAGAAGGAGTGAGGGGAAAGTCAAGGCCTGAGCCTTTATTGGGG